CAAAAAGCAGCACCTCATACTCAAGTACTAAAAAGCAAATCTACAAGAATTTGCCATACAATTAGATGTTCTCCAGGGAAAAAAGTTAATTTGGTTCAAGTACTTAGTCCTACTCTTAATATTTTAGACCAAACATTTTCTGATGCTGCTGAACTTTCTGTCTGTTTTATTCTTTCAACTCTAGCAAAGGAAAACAGTATAATAAATAAAGATTTTTATTTCTGGAATTTGATTTTAAACAACAAAAGGAAAGTAACACAAAAATAATGAGTTTATCACTTTACAAGTTTAAATGTTCTTACTTGAAATCTGACAAAAATTAACATTATTAGTTCAACAGTTTTGGGTTTCCCTTCCATTTCCCTGTTGGAGGCAAATGATAATGCTAATTTTTTATTTGGGACACTCATCCTGGCTCATGTGATTACATAGAAAAAAGCTGAGAATTTACCTTCTATCAATACTCAAGACTATGTAAAAGTATTACTTTATTTTCTAATCATAATAAAATGTTTTAATAAACCTATGAATGGTGAAGGAGTGGCTTAAATATTTCAAAATGCATTAAGACTCAGAAACTACCCTATAGAAATCTGTCCAGCACACTACCTATTGATTTGTCCCTTCTCTTTTTTTATTAGAGTTACCATAAATGAGCTCCATTTTTTCAGCTGTTTTTTTTTTTTTTTCCCTGAGTACAAATGGTTCTATACTATCCAAAGGAGAAAAGCATCCCAAGCTTTAACTTAAGAGCAAGGAAGAAATATGTGCTTCTATCTCACAAGATGTTTGTATTTGAAAAAGAAAATTCATTTCATTTATTCTACCTTTTGTACAATATTTCAATGTAAGATGAAAAATGGATGTCAAGTGTGTGAGTTACTGATTTTTTTTCCTAACTTCATAGACATTTTGTCCCTTTATCTGGAGGATACTGGCTACAGACTTGTTGAATATGAGGCCAGCTACTATTAAAGAGACAACTATCTCAAGTGTGAAGATTATGTGGCTCTTTTGTAAAAAGACCAGAAAACAATGCCTTTACCCAAACAATTGGATCTAGAGACTTCTACTACGAGCTCAAGGAAAGCAAAAGTACTAAAAGTATTCTAAGACTATAACTTTTATGTAAGCCAATCAACCTTTACTTCTTTAAAAAAGGAATAATTTTAGTATAATGTGACCTGCTGCTTCTTTCCCTAATCAGAAGATTCCAGAAGCAACTCAAAACTCAAAGTAAAACTGAAATTAACAAAATGAAAACTGAACTGTTTTGAAACTATGACTCAACTTCTTACAACCCACACACTAAACTAGGAGCATAAATTAGCATAGAAGTGATAGGTCTTTTAGGCATAAGTCACTCATGTATAAACTAAGTAAAATATATTAAAGAATCTTATAAGGAAGCTACTTTTTGTGGCTGAGATCCTACATGGGTTTAGATTTTCTTCATCCTTAATAGATTTTTTTAACCAAATATGATATAATTAAAAAATCTTTTAGAATTATGAACCAGAAAAATGTACTAAGATACAGAGGTACTAAAAATATTGCTGCTGTCTACAACTGAGTGAAGAAAAGTTGCTGTGGCAATGGATGAGTTGAGGGTAAAGGAAACAGGGTATAAGAATATACCCTCTCAAAGTAAATAACTAAATAGCTTTAAAAAAAAAAAAAGACCATCAGACAAATGTTGACATATACTAGTCTCTAATAATCATTAGATTTCAATAATATGATTTAAACCTGCAGTAGAGTGGCTAGGTAGGTAGCTCAGTCACACAGCACTTGCCTAGCATGCATGAAGCTCTATAGTCAATCCCTGCACCAAAACAAAAACAAAAACAAAAACAAAACCTAAACAAACAAAAGAACCCCTCAAAAAACAAACTAACAAAACTTTCATAAGAGTTTAAACATGTCATAAGGACTTCCATTTCACTCATTAAAAAAATACCCTTAGAAGTCCTTTTTAACTCTACAGTCCTAAAAACTGTAGACTTTATCTACCCTGATCCCTTTTAACCATTACTTTGTGGACTTGCATTATTCAAAAGAAAATGTAAGACCAATGAAATCTATCAATATGGATTTTTCTAAATTTAAGTTCTGTTTCTGATTAAAAATGGCTTAAGTGGGCTGGGGATATAGCTCAGTGGTACCGTGCTTGCCTAGCATACTCAAGGCCCTGGGCTTGATCCCCAGAGTAAAACACACAAACATACACATACACACACACACACACACACACACACACACACGGCACTCCATGTTTACCTAAAATTATTGTAATGCTGAAAAATGCCTGACAAAGGTAGAGTAATTCAGAAGACCCTGTGTTCCTAAAGAGAGAAAAGCACATTATATAATGCTAAATGGCAATATGAATGATGTGTCCAATCACAGCTATCTGTGAGTTACACAAAAATGTTCATCAGAATTGTGTTCTCTAATCATAATATGTCAAATTATCATGTCATCTACGACTAAAAAAATATTTTTAAAAAATGTGAAAGAAACAGTGTCATATGAAAAACAGAAGTATAAAAGAAAAATTATGTTCCATCTAGCTTAGAAAAGAAACTCAGACAT